TAAGCACTCATGATGTCTGTAGAATCGAGGGGACTATAATTGAAACAAAGTCTAATGCAAAATACCTCGGATTAGTTATATCTTCCGGCCTTACTTGGTCATCTCATATCCAAATGATTTCCAAGAAAGTGTTTCGTCTAACCTACTACATTAAGAAACTCAGACTAACTGGAGTCCCTCAACCTCTGCTTACACAATTTGTCAACTCTCGTATCCTACCTATTCTACTTTACTGTTCCCCGTTAGTCTTTCCTGGGTTACTGAAAAAGGATTATACCATCCTGAGAAGGATGTTGAAGGTAGTTAGCAGGACTAGCGGTGTAAAACTCAGTCAGCTCGTCACAACATTAGTGGATAAGCATCTGAATACATGTGAGAAATGGTCTAAAACCATACTCTCTGACCCCCAACACCCCCTCTATTCCCAACTCTCTCCCTGCATCTCATCAGGTAGAACCAGAAATCAGTATAAAATAATATATGCTCGCACAACCAAGTATAGGAACTCAACGATACCATATTTGGCCCGTGTTCTAAGTGACAGAGACAATGTTAGGCGTGAAACCTATGACTTGCTTTGTTGTTAATAACATAATTTTGGCCCTTGTTTTTTCCCCCTTACACTCTCTTATTTGTACTCTATAGTGAACAACCTTCTTAAACATACTTAGCTGCTTAAAATTATTATCATTGGCTTACATTTTTATTCTTTATTCTATTCCTTCTTTGTACATCTACTGGGTCCGACTATATTATCACTATGATTATTAAAAATTGTCCCGTCATTAACCATCATGTAACATTAGTTTTGTGGTTGTTCTTTGTTCGGCACTATTTAACTGACAATCTTGTTTGTTATTGCCACTATCACCATCTTAAAAATTTTGTATTATGCATGATTCCTCACACTGCCACTACAAACAACCGCATTAGTACTGACAAAAAAAAACCCTGAAATGTTTATCTTATGATTGCTTAGTGTTGTTCAATCAAATTAACTGATCATCTTGGCTATAAACATTTTTTTAAGAACATCTCATAATTTCCCGTATGATTATAGCTGTTACTGTTCACCACGCATACACATATCGTAGCTTCCACTAACTAATACTGAAATATTTTTTTTCATTATTTGTGTTGATCTTCTTTTTTACTCAGTATTTTTATTTGCATTTTTTTTGGTTATTTCTGTGTTTCTGTTTTTTTTTTTTATATTTTAATTTTTTTTATAATACTCCTTTTAAATGTACGATGAAATTAGATGCAATATTGTAGATATGTGCTGAAAATTCCACACTGTACCACAAGTACTGTTTCTGGAATAAAGCGAAATTGTTATGTTAATTGTTATGTTGTTATGTTTTTCCAGGCACTTATAACCCATCCGCCAAAGACCTGGTTTTTTGTTAATGCGAAGACAATACTTCTGTATTTCCTGATGTGTTGCACTCACTGACAATCTAGCGGATTTTTCCAACTATGCACAGAAATGATTGTACATAAGTGAAAAGGATGTTTTATACTATTGGGATTAACATTTATCAAGTGTATGTATAATCTCCAGTGTACATGTTAAACATATTTTGCTATCGACTGTAAATTGTGACTGAATAATATGATCCTATTTCTGTAACAATTTGATGATGCCTGTAAACTGGCGTCCCTCATGTGCTGTACCACGAGAATAAATTTATTTATTTATATCAAGCGTGTCGCATGGCTCTATCCTATGGCCTGTGATGATTTTGATTCGCACCACTGACCTACTATGCCCTCTAAGCCGCACGACTCTTTTTTAACGCTGACGATATTAAAATTCGGAGTGTCTTACATAGACTAGGGTTAGACGTAAAGCTTCTGGAAGATTTGATGAGGTCCAATGGTATGACTTTCAGCCTGAAAAAGTGCAAAGTGGTGCAAATACACACCTGTGGGCTGCAGAATATAAGCTACAACCTGTGAAAAGAAAACTTGTCCTGCACAACGTCGGAGCGTGACCTAGGTCTAGTTCCAACGTAAAAATGGTCACAAGCGTAAATTACACGGGGCATTTAGCAAAGGCATGTGCGGTAATGCACTTCACACGTAGACAGTAAAGGGCACTCACCACTGAGCTCTTTCTAGGGATGTGCTTAACATACGTATGACCACAACTTGAAGAACACAATATCACTGCACCTTCACGACATAGGAGAAGCTCGAACTTTTTGGGTCAACAATACCAAGACTATATGGCTTACCAAAGACACATAAAGCCAACCTCCCACTTCGTCCAATTCTGGATATGTCAGGTTCCCCGTACCATTCAATAGCGAAATGGCTCACTGACATTTTAGAACCTGTACGAAAACGAATGTGCCACCATTCACTTCGCGACACTTTCCAATTCGTCGATTACATTAAAGATATCAATACAAAGGACAAAACTATGCTCTCCCTCGACATTGAATCACTATTTACCAACGTTCCACTCACAGAAACTGTCTCTTATATTTGTCACTATATCGACGAAAATCAGCTGAACATCGGATTACCGACGACCTGTTTAAAAGAACTACTACTGAGATGTACACTAAATGTGCAATTCACATTCAACGACATTATTTACAGACAACAAGATGGGATCGCAATGGGATCTCCACTGGGCCCATTACTAGCAGACTGCTTCATGGCAAGCCTCGAGAATGGCCCACTCAAATCAACCATCGACAATTTCCAGTTGTACGTTAGATATGTTGACGACATCTTTATCATCTGTGATGACGGTCACGATCTCAATCAACTACTGCAAATATTCAACAAATGCCATCCAGCCACAAATTTCACTTTGGAAACTGAAAATGAATCTAAAATCCCTTTTCTTGATGTCGAGCTTACAAGGAGAGATGACGGAACTTTAAGAAGGTCAATCTATAGGAAACCGACTTGGAACGGACAATTAACAAGTTTCTACAGCTGGGTACCAATCAGTCGGAAAAGAAACCTAATTAAATCCCTTGCCACTCGCGTCAGACGCATCTGCAGCTCCGACACCATGGAAGAAGAACTAAACTTCCTGAAAGAAATCTTCATACAAAATGGCTACCCACCAAGATTTGTAGAGAAAAACATCAAACAGAAAAACCAAAAGCAAGAGACACTATCCGTGCCGAAAAAGATACTTTATATGAACCTAGACTTCAAAGGAGACCTATTTAGTGACGTCCTCAGAAGGAGAATTTCCACCTCTTTAGGAAGAACTTTCCCTGCGGCAACACTAAGAATAGTGTTCTCCAGTCGCCCGCTGATCTGCAGAAACCCAAAGGACAAGATTCCGCACATGACCACTTCTATGTGTATATATCAGTTCACCTGTTGCTGTGGAGCCAGGTACATCGGTCGTTCAACGCGCATCCTGTCTAAAAGGGTAAAAGAACACTATCCAGCGTGGCTACAGAAAGGAAATAATGGCCATATAAGGAGTGCAATAATCGAACATCTCGTCAATACTGGTCATTCCATCTCAACGAACGCCTCCTTCAAAGTAATCTACAAAGTGAAGAACAACCTTCCAAAGACAGTACGATTCCGTCTTCTTTGCATCGCAGAAGCCCTAGCCATCCAGTTGGAGGAACCAGAACTATGCATACAAAAGAAAATTATCCAACCACTTTTACTCGCATGGTAACTACTCCTTTGATTTGACCTAACTTTTCTTTGTTTGTTTGATTTGACCTTACTTCTGTTTGTATGCTTATTTTTCTAACTTAAAACCCTTGTGTAATTCTGTATATTATTTTGTTTCCATGTACACCCTTTGAGCACAACTCATTCATCAAACTATTCATGCCATTACGTAACTCTTATTTAACAATCATTTATGACAACTCATCACTTTTGTTGCTATCCTCTTATCAACATCCAATTCATCTGAACCTACTAATTGTATTTTCGTTTGACAAATTTAATGTATACACACACACACAAAATAACCATATATATTTGCGATTGTACAGCTATGAAAATGAATTCGCCGAAAAGAGACTCTTCGCTGAACTACTTGTCTTCTGTCTACTAATGTTCGAATGGGAATTATTCATGAATTTTTGGAAAAAGTCCAAAGACCAGCGACAGTAAGGGTGATGGATCACCGAAACAAACCACATAATGGGCGGCTAAATAAATTAGTTTCTCTCCACACATAGCTACCGTAGGCTTAGTTACTGCCTATAGAATTAAAAATCACCAGAACCACCCAAATAAAGGTATTCTATCACAAAGTACATATGCGCTTCCTCGTGGGAATCCACGGAGGACAATTCTGCAGAGGATGAAGACTCCAGTGCGCTCCCACTTATTTTCACTTCGGGTTTTTTGTCCGTGGAACTCTGCCGGCAGATGTAGCTGCGGCACCGTACATGGACAGATTTGAGCGGAGTTTAGGAAAGCATGCAGGAACACAAGGATTGCGTCTAAACGGCCTATCTCCTTGAAATGGCACACCCTAATAATAGGTAAACACCAAAACTGTTCGTTTTACTTCTTAACATTCTTTTTTTGTCTCAGTCTCCTGACTTCTCCAACTACAACGCCCCTCACACTTTTACCATTACTGTTATTGGATTTCACATATATTTATGCGCACAATATAATTATATATATATCAACTTCGAATTTCATTAGTTGTTTGGTATTACGTCATTTCTTTTTGTCATTTGGTCTACATAGCCTGCACTAATTATATCTGGTAATATTATCATGTCCTCTTTTGTTGAGGACATCGGAATACTTACAAGGAAGCTGATCAATTTCACTCATAGTAGTAACATGGTTTTAACACACCGCATTCTACGAAATACATAAAATTTAGAGTCAACCAAAACTATGACAGTCAAATGGCTAGACGATCCACGTAAAGGTCTAACAAAGACCAGGAACCTTTGCCACACAATCAAGAAGAGAGCACAAAGAAATCAAATTGATTTACACTAGCTCGTGAGAGTTGACATTGGATATTGGATATGAAAGCGCGGTAACAGGTCTTAACTCTGGATGACCTTGTGACAGCTGCTTATAGGAATGTCGAGCGCTGGGATGATTTCAATGAAAATGTCTGCTTCATGGGAAGCCGAAAAGTCTTCATCAAATGCTATTCCAAGGTACTGATATCTTTGAAGTGTCAATGAGTGGTGACAATTTTGTTTTCTGTGAAATTTATGGAATTTCTAAGTTGATATTCTTATTTAATTGTTCATATCTGCTAAACTGTATTGCATGTATGAACAGAAACTCTCCTTATATAAACTTACATGGCCTGTGTAACCTGTGTCACCAAATACCCCTTTGGAACTGACAAATTTCTCAGTTTTATGATGCGCTGACCCTACTGTTGCTTAGATTTTTCACTAATCCCACTTAACGGGAAGTGAAATCAAGCTATTTTCCAAACGGCAAAATGCCACTAATGATGAAAATTATTGAGTTACACTTAGATAGGAGTGTTAACCTGTTAACGTTTTGCATATGCACTTCTAATAGCTCCCTAAATGAAACTGGGGCGCAATTTATGTCTTGGTTTTAGCTGTCTTGTGCACCTTTTAGGTACTTATAATTTGTGATTTCATATCAGTAGCTCTACTTTTCGCTGCACTTGGTGCTTGTTAATCTGTCAAAGTAGGAAGTAGCTCCTATGCATTTATGTTAATCGTATTGTTTCAGATTTGATGGAGGACTTCAGATTTATCTGAGGTAGCCTTTACGAGAGTTACTTTCATTTGTTTTCAGAGGTGTACTGCTGTTTAATTTCATGGCATTGTGTTTTATTCGTAGATCACCGACGTCGGTAAATAATTCGCCAAATCAGCTGATTCAGCCAGTGATCCATCTTTTAATGCTACCTGCACAGCTGATTTGGGCTGCTCCAAAGACAGTAGTTTTACCACCCATTTTGTATATGAACCATTAGTTGAGCATTAAAAGCTGGAAGTCTCCTTAAGGAAACCAATACCGTAGATCCTATTATTACTTTGGTACTTAAGGACGCGCACTTATTCTAAAATATAAAAATGTCTAAAATTTAAAAGTTGACAGTGTTGATGCACCATTATTGAGTACTCTGTGTCATGTCATGGTCTTGCAAATGTTTGTCACTTACATCTTTAAAAGCTTCCACCCTTGCAGACTTCTTCAGACTCTGCTCTAACAAACCACTGGAGACTGCGCCTTCTGGTATGATCAGCGCTTAATTCTTGCGATACCAACTCTATTTCAGCCAGTATTATTTCTCAAAGAAGGCATTGTTAGCATGTGTAGCACCCAAACCAGTCTGTAGAGATACCTAATCTTATAAATCGAGTCTCATTCACCTAAAATTCCCTCGAAAACCAACATTTTCTACCTCATTGTTATTTGGCGCTCACAATAGGAGAAAGTTACACCGGGTCAAAAATTTGTAATGTTTTAATCTTCCTCTTCCAATACTTGCCTCACTGGTGCTAAGATAAAGGAAAATAATCCATATCATATAAACTGGTTATAAGTTGTTCAAATTTAAAAAAGTAAAAGCAGTCGTTCCATTAAAAAAAGGTGAAGTAATGTCAATAGGTCTGAACTTAACAGTTTGTCCATTTGATGATTTACGCACAAGAACAATTTTAATGTCCTTCCAAGAAGCAGGCACAGTTACTAGAAAATGATTTATTCAAAATACCAGTCAGAGGATGACATAAAATGTCAGCACATTTATTGAGGATAATAGCTGGCACACCATCTGGACCAACGGACTGGGTAGGTTTAAGGGATTTGAGACACTTGAAGACATCGTTTGAGTTAAAACCAGAGAAGCGATCATTGTTTGCACTTGTAGCATTTGAGATCATAACAGCAGTTAGACGACACATGAAGGACGACTTATTAACAGTACTAGTATAAACTGTAGAAAGATCATTGTTTATTCGCTTACCCCCCCCCGAGTGATTTCCTTAAATAGCTTCCTCATATTTAATGAGGTTTTGCATGATAAGAACTTTTGGTTATAGATCCAATTTCTGGTTTACTCAAGATGTTCAGTCTCTTTACGCCGGGATTGTCTTTCATTTTGTATAACCGTTCTTCTCCTCGGTGGTTTTTCAGCTGAGAAGAGGAAAGTGGTCAAATCTTAAGAAGTGTCTCTTTTGGACAACACATATTAAGACAGAATTTGGGAAAATGTCACGTTTGTGATTGTGTTATCTAGAACTTGTTCGGTGAATAAGTCCCAATTAGTATCATTTAAAATGTTTCTTAGATTGTGTATATTGTCATAAGAGTAACATCTATGTTGTGTTTTCTTACCAAGGTTCAATAGGGCAATACACGCATGATACAATGACCAGAATTAAGCTTACAATAGACTACAATGTTGTATTTTTAGTAATTCTTTGTATATCAACTAAACTGTTCGACAAATTCAGTGTATTAAAAGTAAATGTTTCTCTTTTCAGACTTTGTAGTCTTAGTTTGGTACAAATAATATTGGATAGGCCTATTGAACCAGAATGCGCTAACACAGGATTTTATGTTGTTGTTCGTATGCGAGGTACAGCTCGTCGAGTTTTACGGTCACCGGAAATCACCCTTATTTGTTCGAAATCTCCACAGGCTCAAGTTGTTTCAACAAATGCTCATTCTAACAATTTGTCTACCAACCCAAATGAAGTTGGTCACAGTGAATCAACCGGCCAACCTTGTGCAAATACCAGTTTGAATGCTTCGGTGCCTGGTGGTGGTGGCGGCGGCGGCTCAGTTCTTATCGATTTCACATGCAATATTCAGTACTCACACCTTCTGACACGAGATTCTAATACACTGCAAATTCTACTTCAGCGTCGTAAAAAGTACAAAAGTAAAGCAATGAATTTAGGATACAAAACATTAGCTTACTGCAATGTGAACCTCGCTCAAGTTAGTTTTGTGGTGTTTTTTAGACTAAATTTATGTTTTTATGTTGGTGATATACGTCATATTTGTATATTACATTTTTAGTTCCTTAGGTTCCTACAGAAACATGTGTTCAACAGCATATGTCCACTTTGTTCTGTTCTCTGAAGTCCCACTCTAGGTTGCTCCAGAATTACCCATCTGTTCTCATTTCCTTCTCACACTGTCTCCTCCACACTGTCCTCTAACGACCAACTCGTATTTTTTCATTTGGGTTCCATTCTAGTGATTGCCTGGCGCGGTATTTCGCCTAACAGTCTCCCCAACATGTATCCGATACCTCTTGATTTACTTCAGAGTACTTGTTGAGCAATAGGTTCTTGATTGGTGCGCTAGCTTCAAATATTCATTAGTGATATTATTGAATGAAAATCGGTTGAAGAATCTTATTTTAAAGTCTGTTAAGCTGTCTACACTACTTAATTCATCAGCTATTCAGCAATACGTACGTCTAATTTGGCTACTTAATCACCAGACAAATGTTGCTTCCTGATTGACCTGACACAAAGTAATCTATACCCGTCTACACAGACCATACAAATAGTCACATCACAAATTAATATTGTGTCCTGACTTGTTTATCGTTAACTTTTTATATCGTGGTCTTTTTGAAACAATGCTAGAGATGAACATTAATATCCATTGATATCTATGCGCATTATACTAATCGGGGAACTAAGGTTATGGAGAAAGCTTTCACTCCAAGAAACTGTAATAATATCTAGTTTTCAGGAATTAGTTTCAGCCGGTTCTATTTATTTCAGTTTAGACCACAGATTAATATCAGTTAGAGAATCATTGAAACTCAGGAAGTACTGGACAGCCGTTTCGTCCTAGGTTGGGACTCATCGGACAGGGCGCACCCACTGGGTTTCGAAATCAGTACCTTCCGGTGGTCTGATGCTCGCTGGTGACTGGCTACAGAACGAAGTTGCTCGGAGTTCTAGTGAAAAATCGTGACCGGTGGAGTCCATCCAGACTGGAGTGAGGATGGAGTTCCCGCCATTGACATTGGTTGGTGCTCCCGCTAGAAATCACGAATTGGTAGAAGTTAGAATCCGTGGGTCATTGAATTGGGCCCCAGTGACTGAACGGTATACGGACTAGCCTAGTAACTGGAAGGTCCTGGGTTCGAACCCTGGTGGTTGGTGTGGACTGCCTTTGATTCCCAAACTAGGATAAAACAGGTTGTTCATCAAGTCTACACCCAACACATGCAACAGAAATGACTCATTGCAAATACCAGAAATGTGGAAGATATTATTACCGCCGGTCAAATCAGAAGAAGATAAAAAGTAATCATAAAATTTTATTTCAATTTAAACACATCACAACATTCGAACAAGTAACTTATTATGACTATAAAAACACTCGTCTTATTTCCCACCTAATTGTAATTGATCAATAACACTCGTATTATTATTTCTGAATGTACATTATCTCATATTGACTTTTAATCCAATATCTAATCGATTCCACACATGCATATAAATGAAGAAAAAAATTTTTGTGAGTAACTTGATATGATTATGAGCAATAGTTTGTGCTCGAAACGTCATCAGTTAATATTACTGTGCAACACTGTGTGATTTATCAGGATAAAATCTTATCCGTAATGAAGTTATACTCTACCACAGTGCCCAAGTTTTATACTTATATCAATAATAAAACAGCTGTGCAGCTCCCTCTGGTTTTCAATGATCCTCTAACTGACATCAAATATATAGTCTAAAAATTACCATGGGTCATAAAACTGACGTTATAAAAATAATAATAGTCATAAATTCCAGTGAGAGTACAGAACGGTGTACTAATTCCCATGTCTTTCTGTATACGCTACAGTAATGTCATCGGACTGCTTAAATTTTGCCAGGTGTAATTAAGTTCAAGTTTGTTAGCTGCTGGTTGAAATTTGTTACATTCTCAAGATTCCTGACTCAGAGCTCATAGGACGGTGATAGCTGCACACTAAAGAATGAATATACGACGGTTCTATCGCAGTACCCCAATTTCCGTTGCTGCTTACTTCCCGTATTTGTTTGTTCCACTTAGTTGCATTTCCCTGCCTATTGATTTTTTGTCTCCGTGGTTCGTAAAACGCAGCACATGTCCTATCATAACCAATTCTGTATTTTTATAGCATCTGATCATATTGGTAGTTATATGATCACCATACTGTTCAATTAATTTCAATGAAAAAATTGTGAATGATACATTTCCCCAGTGTTTTAAGCAAAACCTTAAAGATTTGTGCAGAATAAAATGAGGCCATCAGTTATTTCGTTGGTTTCTCTTCAGCTGCGTATAACTTGCAAGGTTTACATGATTTTTGGTTAACAGAGACACAGAATTTTGCGTTGTTTTTATTTTTCGCCTTATGTAAATTTACACAGGAGAATAAGTGTATAGGAAAACGATAAAGCACTTACACTTTGAAAGGATTTCTTTACATCGAGATGCTAAGTAAGAGTGGATTGAGACTATTGGTGGTATGGCTTAAAATCTTTCTCAATGGTTCAGCTGCATTCACTGTTTGTAATCTCTCATATCTACTACAGCTTCATGTTTTTTTCGTGTTACAATTCTTTCTGCCACACATTTCTACCCATTATGGTTCTTTTGAATTTCTTCTTTTTCTTCGCCCCCTTTGTTTACCTTTGTGTGGTAAATAGAGTGCGGCTATGTGGACTCTATTGCACTTCTATGCAAATTTCCATGTTGAAACTAAGTCAGTCAGTCAATCACAGAGATTTTTGTGTGATAGGCTATGAGCCGAGACTAATATAATGCCATCCAGCTTCTCAGATTGAATTAGGCTAGGAGGTATTTGACACCCAGGAAAGTCGAGTGTTTAAGCCAATAAGACGACACATCTTCACTAGTAATAGTAATGCTATTGATAATGATCAAGTTTCTTTTGTTCAGCAAGAGATTCTGTTTATCGCAGTATTTAAATCATAAGTCAACTTTTTTTAATATTTTTGTCTTGGTTCCAGGTGAACTTTTTTTATGGCTTGTTGTTAATAGGAATGAATAATTTTTTTATTTTAGTTGGAAAATAAGCGCACTAGTATTTTATTTTGCACATAACTGTGGATTCTCTTAACACAGAATTTTCATTCTGGTTCACAGGAATGTTTATACTCGCATTCTTCAATTTTATTTCATTTTTTTTATCGTTTATCTAATCAAACACACACCCTGTTCCACTAGTGTTTTAGATAGTTTTAGAATAACATTTTTGTTGTTTTTGTTGTTGTTAGAAAAAATGATTTCCCTATAGGATCACTTAAGATTCTAGCAAAACGCCATTCATTTATTAGGATTCTTTTTGTTAGCCATTATCTTACTTATCTTACTGTCTTCCAACCGATTGGTACACAGGCTTCCTTCGCCTTTCCTTTTCTCATCCCTTATTAAAACATTTATTATGCACAATACACATAGTGGACCTCGTTTAAAATGAGTAATTTTTCTTTTAAACATTTAAAGAGAAATATAAAATTTTGGTGCTGTGATCTAATCCCTTTTCAACAGTATTCTGACGTTTATAACAGCTAAGTTGGTTTGATAGCATATATATGTCGCGCATATCTAACCATCAGTTTTCACGTCGAAGAGTGTTAGCTAACATGGGATTAGGTTTGGAAACAGAATTAGGCGTGGTCAAATCTAAACCACATAGAGACGTGTAGACTGTCTGGCTGAGATCTGCGACACGCTTAGAATCGACTACTGGAGACTTTTTAGGTACTCAGAAGCATTCACCTTTTTATGACCTCCTAGACCCATCAAATTGTCATTGTTCTTCACGTGTTTATTCTTTCTCTCGCACTTTTCGGCTTCATTATATAGTTTATTTGAATCTTTTTTCCTTACTTTGGTGTGTGCCATATGGAGTGTGGCGATTTGAACTACCGCAATTTTCGGGAAAGTTCTGCTTTGAAAACTTATTCAGTCAGTAAATTGGTGCAGATTGAGAAAGACTATTTCAACAAGAATAATAATAACAGCTTCATTTTGCACAAAATTTTCAGCATAGTTTATTTCATGACATTTTCTCTTCATCAGAGATCTTCAAGTGCGTCGGTGACACAGCGGTTAGGACGCTCACCGACCACGCACATGGTCCGGGTTCGATTCCCGGCCACAGACGCACTCCTTTTATCGCTAAGCCAGAAATAAAGTTGGTAATGAGGAAAGGTTAGGTATGAGGCTAGCAACCCCATCCTGTAAAATAAACACTGCTACAGAAACTTCAAGCCACTAGCTTGGAGCCCTATGTTCCACTGGGAACGTGAAGGAAAAAAAAAGAGATCTTCAAATAAAAATATCATGTGACAGTAGACCAATTGAAACACTTCTACCTGACTTAAAGCGCAAACCCAGGAAATTGTGATGTCTCTTCTTTGTTTTCTTCTTCGGTAAATGCATGTAATTTGGTTGAGTGGCAATTAGAAAAGGTTCAGGTATCCATTCTGTGAACCAAGTACGCAACCCATGAACGGCCATCTGTTACATTGCAATACTCACCAAGCTACGATTATGTGTTTTTTCTCCTCACGGTAACTAGAAGCTTGCTAATCAGCAAGATGTAAACATATTTAAATGTTCGCCAAAGTATCAAACGTAATTAAAGTTCATATTTTCTCTCAGATTCAAACAAACTGAACGGGAGAAAATATCAGTGATATATCGATGGGATTTTTCGGTAGCCTAAATTTAAGCAGGCCGCCTATTGTTAACCTATGCACCATTAGATTTTGCTACTTTGTTATTACTGTCGTTATTAAATTACTGTTTAACTAGGTAACTTGAATAACACAAAAGTTACACAAGGTGAAGGATAGTGCTTATATCACCAAAAGTATGCGTGATGCATTATAATACAAAAGAGACTGAATGGGGGAAGCAGATTAAAACATAGGATAAATATGCATCGAGCTAAGTCTTCACACTTTACC